TTAGATCGCTCTTAAGTGGCTACTAAAACACTTGATTTGGGGCTTATAGCTACAGTTGAATGGTAGGTTTTTATTTCATTTATGCCTTTCATCCATGATTCTAGTCACTGAACAAAAATGATAAAGGAATAAAGCTAGGAATATACCTGGGTTCATCCCCAGACTCCAATGATCACTTGATCTCTGAAACAGCTTAGTTAACTTCTTTCTTAGTTTCTCTGTGTATTAGATGAGGATAATGATCCTGTATAAGGATCTAATGGAGAGGAAGTTTAATGGATTAAATGAAATGGTGTCTTGAGTAACCTTCAAATCCTGGCTCTCAAATCTAGAAGGGAACTCAAACATCACGTGGTCTAAGTCCTTTGCTTTCACAAATGAGGCAACCGAGAAGAACATTCTACACAATTCCAATGGATCCCATCACTTTGTCAATGCTAATTTATAAAGTCTCCAACGCTTCATTTACAGCAAACACATTGCATTCTTCATATTAGTAATTAGAAGAGAAGCTAAGGGAACTGCCAAAAACACACACAAACCAAACCAAAAGAAACAAACCCTGGAGTACAAAGATGAGAGAGCAGAAACCATATTCTTAACACACACACACACACACACACACACACACACACACACACGTCTTTTATTTCAGAGCCTGCTATATTTCAGAGAGGAAGGGAGAGGGAGAGAGAGATAGAAACATCAATGATGAGAGAGAATCATTGATCGGCTGCCTCCTGCATGCCCCCTATTGAGGATCCAGCACACAACCTGGGCATGTGCCCTGACTGGGAATCCAACTGTGACCTCCTGGTTCATAGGTCGATGCTCAACCACTGAGCCACCCTGGCTGGGCAGAAACCATATTCCAATGTAAGCACTTCTGCTCCAGCTCTCCCTCCCTCCACAGCACTTGGGGATTTTCACTGTCACTGCAGAGAGCTGTCTCAAGCCTTTGCTCTACCTGGAAACAGAAGGTGCCTGTCCTAGCTTTACTCAAAGCTCTGGTGGTGGATTAATACTCTACAAAGCCTTGAAGCTGGCGACAGAGAATAATGTTTGGACTGTATCAATCGAGTGGGATGCTCCCATAATACATGCCAGGCACTTTCACAGAGGTTGTTGCCTTGTTACAATGACATGCTCCCCCTACTAGGTGCTAAGTACACCACTAATATGGAGGCGCCTATAATACGATCAAAGCAGGCTGGGGAGACATTCCCACACTGAGCATAGACTATACCAGATAACCCATGAAGTTAAAGAAAATACCAGCCATACCTGGAAGAAATCAGGTCCAACCTAATAAGAATCAGCTGGTAGGCTCTCCCTAGTTCCCCTATCCTAGTCTCTGTTTGCTTCTTGTTCTTGGAAACCTGCAATCATAGTGCATTTTCATCAAACAGATGAATAAGGAATAGGAAACTAAAAAAAGAGGGGAGCAGATAATGCATTTCATTGTGTTTTCCTGAAGGCCCACCCATCATACTGCAGATTTAGAGAGAAAAATCAATAAGAAGGTTTTTCTCTTTATAATCCATGTGATGCGTAGTTTCCCCCCTGCTTTGAAACAGACATTGTTATTCCCAGAAGCATCTCTAATAAAACACGCTTTATCCTCTCGAGGATGGGGAGAGGGCTAAACAGAAGCAGAAATGAGGCCCTCTGTGGCCCTCAGTCCAGGGTGGGCTGTGGACTTGCCCTCCCTCTCTCCTGCTCAAAACTCCTCCTCTCTCTTCCTTTCTGCCTTCCTGGTCATTCTCCTGGGCTGGGGATGCCCAGTGATGCCTGCCCCACTCTGGGAAGATGAAAGATACAGCTGTTTGATTTTTCTCTAACATTCCTAATGTTTCAAGTTAGAACCTGAACCTTGAAAGAAAAGGAAATCTTTGACAATGGCTTCAATCACTTTCCATGATCACAAATAGATATCCAACTACCAGACTCAAATACTTGTTCCATTTTAAACAGGGAAGATTCATTCATCCATTCATTCATTCATTCCACACCATTCGCGGGGTGACTCCTCGTGCCTGGTACAGCCAGGGAGGAAAGGTATGCACGTAGGGGATGATGAAGATCAGCAGGTAAATAGTGCTGTGTGGACCTAATCGGTTGGGAAAAGCATTAGTAGATTGCTTTTAAGCATTTCTGATATTACTTTTGCTTTGAAAACTCGGTTTGATTTGGTGATAGAATACCATATGAATTCAGGTAGCCACAGAAACGCATTATCTCAGTAGCCCTGACGTTCTCCTCCCACTTGTGCTTTGGCATCACCTAGTAATCATTTCAACTGGTCCTTGGTGATGTAGGTTTCTTCTGCTTGGCCTTGCACCTACACTTTCACAACTAAATGACTTGTGGAGAAGAAATGGGGAAAAATTTGCATCTCATGCTTGGTTATCTTTCCCAACCTCTAGTGGGTACAGGAATGCCAGGTCCAGAACAGGTTCCTGGCAGCCACTGGGACCATTTATTTCCTCCCAGGTACCCCGTTCCTCCTCATTGCCATCGGGCCCAGGCGGACGACCGCCATATGGCTCCACCCTGCCCCATATGGCTCCATCTCCCTAGCAGGGGCGCTGGAGAACATAAAACACTGCTGTACACTTTTATTGCAGCCCCTTCTCATTCCCCTCCATCTGCCTTCCATATGTTTATGTGACTCTATCAGGCTCTTGCACACAGAGCCTTTTGTAATGAGGACTGCCGGCCGGACCAAGATAAAGAACTAGACTTCACCTCCCTCAGTGACAAGGAGCCTCGATTACTTTCAATATGTGATTCATTTAACATTCAGACGACCACACACTCATACCCGGTTTTCTTCAATTTGTACACAAAATGAATTTTCTTTCATATTTATGATCTCTTTCAATTTTATCAACAAAAACCACATGGTGGCTCCTCTGTTGATAGCCCTGTGCATGAAGTTTTGAAGAATTGTATGTGACTGCCACATAGGCACCCCTATTACATGCACATCAATCTAAAGTTGACTTTCTTATTGTCATAAAATTCTCCTTTGATCGGAGGAGAAGTTGTTACCATTTCCCCCCTCAAGTGTCTGTGCAACAATCTGAAGTGTGTCCTCCACAAACTCTAAGAAAAGGAGAAGGAATGAGGAGAGGCTGACCCCAAATGTCTTTTCCCCACCCCATTCACGCCCCCCCCCTCCTTCCCCGCAACCCCTCCGTGAGTTGCCGGTATTCTAGTCCCAACTTAGGTCAGACCACTGAGCCTAGTCCTCTGAGCATGTGGCTAAAGTGACACAGTTGATCCCAGTGTTGGTATAATTGATAAAGTGGGATAGCAGTCACTAGACACCATGCACAACACCAGTTCCCGACAGGAGGCAACTCCTGGCATTGGGAAGAGTAATCGGGGTGATTTCTCACTCCCAGTGTTCAACAGTGGGAACTTGTGATTGGCCATTTTCACAAGAAACTAATGGCAACAAGAAAGAAAAAGAAATCAAGCGAGGCCTTGTATTGGCTTTCATAATTTCTATCCTTATCAATATGACCTGGGCACAAAGTCTTGTATTAAAGAATAAATTGTGGTGCTATTAAGAAGAAAGCATTTAACCCCACCCCCCCCAACCTCTACCCATGTTTAAAGGTGTCCTCTTCTCCGCAGGTGAGCTGCGGGTATTCTAGTCCCAACCACCTGTGAGAGGCCGTCTGGTGATCAGTACATGGGAACCCTGGCCGGTTCCAGGAGGTGCTCTCTGATGAACACGGGACACGGGAACGTGCTCAAGCGCACCAACTATTAACCGATGGGCACACAAAAACCCCGGCAAATGCCACGAGAATACACTTTTCCTTTAGCTTGTTTGTGTACAAATGGCAACTGCTGATTTTCTTGCCCAAACATACCTGCGCAAAATAAAGTATTTATTTGAAATTTGAGATACTGGAGGAAACATGATTGGGTCATTTTGCTTTGTTTTCCTTACCCACTGACACATTTCACACATCTTGGTTTCTCTTAATGTCCTTTGTGATGCAAGAGAGAGCCAAACATCAGGTAGGTTCAGAGAGACCTCTGGGACCCAAGGGAATTCTTGCTCCCACCTATGCTGTCATTTCACAACCCTTCCTGCCTGGAAAAACCTAAGGAGTTACTTTGTCCTAATACAACTGAACACTGCCTCTTCCTGCTGCAGGCAATATGTGATCGCAAACTGTGGGCATCCCAGGTGCTCTGGGGGCAGCAAAAAGTGCCTTTCCGTCAGGGGATCAAGTTACCGGGATTCAGGCTATAGCCAGGGGCCTCGTCATCGGAATAATTGCTCCAGGCTGGAACCATTTACAAATCTGGTGAAGAGAGGCAAGTACTCACCCTTCTGTGAACAAGAAAGTGTGGCTAGTCCTTCTGTACATGCAATAGTAGTGTTTGCAAAAGGGCAAAGGTGAGAAAGCTAAACGGGCATTTTGCTCCCAGGTTAAATAGAAAAGACAAGGAGTCCGATCAGTCAGACTTCATGAGTTATAATTTCTGGACCGAGAGGGCGTGCTCTGAGCGGCGTGTAAGCCGCTTGGGAAAAGGCAGAAGTTGCTCAGCTTCTAGTTGCTGAGCAGTTGCATTAACTGTTGACATTTCTGTGGGAGGCTGCTCCCCCAAGTGCAGAGCCCCCCACAGGCCAGGTGAATACTCATTAACCCCTTGCCTGCATTTCTTCCCGCTGAACACTGGCCTCTTGCCAACCGTCTTTAGGGAAGGTCTGGTAAAAACTGCCCAAGAAACAAGAACATCTGCCTGCGTATCCTCTTCTTTGTACAGCTACTTCCCCGGCAGCTGCTCGGATCTCCATGTGTCCATTTAGTGGATTTAAACAAAACGGCACGGGGCTGAGGGGGAGGGGCACGGAGCATACGCTGGAGCAGCCCACTCCCGGGGCGGCCACAGTGGGAGGCTTGCTCCTAAGGATACACACTGACAAGGGCAGCCGCTGCTGAGCCTGGAAGCAGGAGACAGCCCGGTCTTACCTGTTTCTTTGTCCTGGACTTCTTCCAGGTGCAAGTCATTCAAAAGGTGCTCCAAGATCTTCTCGGGGGTCCCGGACACGACCACGTATCTGTCAGAGAGCAGAGAGTCCACCGAGTCATCCTCGGTGGAGGACTGCGAGCGGCTGCTCCACGCATCGTCCTCGTCCTCCTCGTCAATGTATTTGAAATAAGGCACATCGAAGGTGGGCAGGGGCAGCGGGCGGTCCGAGAGCCCCGCGCAATCCTTCCTCTCCAAGTGCGGGTCGCGGACCCGCAGCCGGGAGCTGCCCATTGTGCCCGGCTCCTGACAAAGGCATCCCCTAAATGCTAAGAGATCTTGGCCATCTCGGGCTTTCCCTGGGAACTGAGTCCATCTGGCTGCTGAGAGCTCTGCAGTCAGCTAGAACGCTGAGAGGCGGAGAGAAAAAGGAGGGGGAGGAGAAGGAGGCAGAGGAGGGAGCGAGGGGGAGCGGGGAAGGGAGGCAGGCAGGGAGGGGAAGCGGGAGCGAGAGCCTCGGAGGAAACTCACCTCCAATCGCTGTCGGTGCTCCCGCCTGGGGGGGCCGGGCCACCGCGCTGCACTTTCCTCAGCACCAGGACATTCTGCTCCTGCTCTCGGACTGTGGTCACCTCACCATCCTGCTTTCATCGGGGACGGGGACGGGAGAAGGGAAACGGGAGAGAAAATTAAAAAGGAACTCACTAAAGCTGCATTTTCTTGAGTTGCTTTGTACCATAATTTCTCTAAAGATTCAGAATAAATTAGGAGGCTGGCCAAGAAGCTCCCTCCTGGACAGTGTCCAGGCTCAAGTTCCACAGACACAGAAAGCATGAGGGAAACAGAGATACTTTGAAGTGTTTTCATGTCACGAGGCCTTTGGGTCTCCGGGAACTTCTGTGGCAGCAGATAGAGTTAAGTGAGAAGATGACCTTTATGCGTGGGGGCAGAAAAGGGGCTAAAAAAATAAAGCAAGTAGAAAACCCATAAAGTGGGGATAAGGATTCAGACTTCATTTTTAAAGCTACCTGAACGATTTGAATGAAGGAATCCAGAGTTTCACAAAACACAACATACAAACTGCACGTGTATTCCCTTTTACCTGGTTAATGCTTATTAAACAATCACTCTTTTAGAATGGGAAAGTCATTTACAACATTATTCTTTAAAATTTATCTTTATTGCTAAAAGTATTACAGATGTCCCCTTTCCCCCCATTAACCCCCTTCTTCC